GGGGCTACAAAAGTAAGTATAACATCCACCCATAATAAAAGAGATGGATGAAAAGCAAAATGGAAAATCAACATATTTATAAAATGACAGCTGTAATGAATGTGCGTTATTCTTAAAGGTAGATTGTATGATCTAAAAAAAAGTTTATTTTATTAAATATGACCTTTAATATTCAGCTGCAGTGGCATTAATAAATGCAGAAGCGCTCTAGATTCTGTAATCTTTTTTAAAAATTACATGGTAAGGTAAATGTAAATTTTTTCACATCAGAGAATGTAATTTGCAATAAAGTTTACTAAAATCATTTCAAGGTGTGTAGATCACCTGGAGATTTGTTATCCTAATGCAACATGTAGTACTGTGTTGACTTACCTTTAACAGGCCAGCACTCGTTTTGTTTTCAGATGTTTTTTCTTTGTGGGCAAGTTGTTCTAATAATCACAGTGAATGTTAACAATGAATGACTGAACTTAACACTAGAGGGAACTTCTAGCTGCTTTTTGAACTTCAAGGATCAGATCACAATATACAATCAGATATAATAAACTATTCATATTTATACAAATCACTGAATACATTTTTAATATTATGCTTGTGAAATATTTTCTAGTAAATAAAAAGTATGCTCATCCTCTTGGGTTCTGAGGGTTGCACTCGACCACCTCTTTTGATATTGCCAATCGTGCACACAGACCTGGATCTTACTGTTGCTGCTCACGTTGTTGTTGTGTATACCTATGTTATTTGCTTAGATTGCTTGGTACTTATGTACATTTCTCCTTACCTTACTCGTCCAGCTCTTGGGCTGCTTAACCACAGGGCTCTAACTAATGGGCTGAATAGACGTGTCGATCACATTGTGGCTGCCCCCCACCTTGTAGCCCCAACCCCCATTGCTAATCTTTTTCTTCTGCCTTACAGGTGTCTATGTTTTTCTTTAGTTTTTTATATTGTAACCTAAAATGTATACGATATTTTGTATAAGCTTATATGCAGTATTAATTATTGCAGGGCTCAAAATTTCCACTCGCCCCCTCACAAATTGCGAGTGAAAATTGCGTGGGGGCGAGTGGAAATGAAGCCATTGGGGTTGATTTACTAACCTTATAAACACACCATGAACGTGTTTACACCTCTGTAGTGTGTTCCCTCCCAGCATGATCTATGGGAGGAATCGAAACACCTTTGTAGTGTGTACACACCCAGCAGGTGTGTTGTGCAAAGCCCTGCAATGAATTGCAAGGTAATGTGGTGTAAATTAGCTCTATGTTATGTTGCTTGCGTTGATGAATGCAGGAATGTAATGTACAAAAAACTTATTTCAAAAAACGGTCATCCACAACCAGCTTGGCAATATAATGATATTTAATTAGTAAGGCAAATATACAAAACCAGCAGTGACCCTCAAAAGTTATAAGTAACAGTCAATTATTTTAATTGACTTAATGCAGAAGTATTTTTTTAGGACCTTCCCTGTCTTAGAACCTACATAACACTTACGCTGAGTTCCCTTCAGCAGCCATCAAGTGACTAAAACTATGCTAGTGGGACATGAGCTCTCTACATTCAGGCAGAGAACTGTTTGAAATGATTTAAATCGATCAGTTTTAGATTAATTTGTTAGGTCTACGTAAATTCTGGATTTGAACTGAAGCTTCGGCAAATGTACTTGGAAGAGGCAATTCACAACAACTGAGAAAAGGTTTAAACCCCGAGGGTTTCTTAACAATGGCACTAGTGCAGGATTTAGAATATGGTGCTTCATTTTGTAGGGTATAACACCTGTATATTATTTTACATTTTGTTTGCCAGATCTCATTTTCATAGTTACATAGTTACACAGTATTTGAGGTTGAATAAAGACATAAGTCCATCAAGTCCAACCTATTGTGTGCATGCATTTATGAGCAGGTGTGTGCGTGTATGTGTCCATGTGTGATTTTTCTCTTAGCAGTACCTGTACCCCTGTATATTATGGTCTCCAGGGAACTCGTCCAGGAGTCTCTTGAATGATTCCATACTCTTAGCTGAAATCAATTCCTGCGGCAGCGAGTTCCAGACCTTAACCGCTCTAACTGTGAAGAACCCCTTGCGCCCTGTATGTTGACATTTTTTTTTCAACCAATTTTTGGTTGTGCCCTCTGGTCTTTGTTACGGAGCTGACCGTAAACAGTTTGTTACTAAGGTTGCTGTCACCCTTGAATAGTTTATACATGAAAATCATGTCTCCCCTTAATCTCCTAACCTCCAACGAGAACATATTTAATTTTAACAACCTTGTTTCATAGTTCAGATCCTCGAACCCCTTAATGAGTTTGGTTGCCCTCTTCTGGACTTTTTCCAGCTCAAGGACATCCTTTCTGAGTATCGGTGACCAAAACTGGACCGCATACTCCAGATGTGGCCGAACCAGTGATCTGTAAAGTGGCAAAATTATATACTTGTCCCTGCAATACATTCCCTTCTTAATGCAAGACAGGACTCTGCTTGCTTTGTTTACAGCAGCCTGGCACTGCGCGCTGTTCTTCAATATGCGGTCTATAATGACCCCCAAATCCTTCTCCGTTTCTGACTTCCCTAGTGGCACACCCATAAGAGTATAGTCCATTTGCCTATTTTTAACTCCAAGGTGCATTACCTTACATTTATCGACAATGAACTTCATCTGCCATACAGTTGCCCATTCCCCCAATTCTATCCAGGTCCTCCTGTAATGTTAGAATGTCTAAATCTGTGTCTACTAACCTCCCAATTTTCGTATCATCAGCAAACACTGAGACATGACTTCTCACTCCCTCCCCTATATCATTAATAAATAGGTTAAAAAGCATGGGACCCAGCACCGAACCCTGGGGTACATCACTCATGACCTCAGCCCAGTCTGAGAAGGTGCCTTCAACTGATACTTTGTGCACGTTCTTGTAGCCAGTTTTATATCCACGTGCACACTAATTGATCTATACCCATAGCCCTTAGCTTGTATAACAAGCGTTTATGTGGCACCGTATCAAATGCTTTGGCAAAGTCCAGATATACTACGTCCATCGGCCACCCCCCATCCAGATCTCTACTTACCTCTTCGTAAAAGGTCAGCAGGTTGGTTTGGCAAGAACGATCCTTCCTAAATCCGTGCTGCACATCACTTATTATACTATGATCCCAGACGAATTCCACTAAGTAGTCCTTAATAATTCCCTAACAGTTTACATACTATGAATGTCAGACTAACTGGTCTATAGTTCCCCGGTTGGCATTTTGACCCTTTTTTGAATATAGGTACCACATTAGCCCTTCTCCAGTCACTTGGCAATCTACCAGCCATTATGGATTCCTTAAAAATGAGGAACAGTGGTCTCGTTATCTCCTTGTTCAGTTCTTTGAGTACCTTGGGGTATAGATTATCAGGTCCTAATGCTTTATTTGCATTTAGTAGTTTAAGCCTATGTTGTATCCCAGTTTCTGTCAACCATTCAGGTGTATTTCCTGTTAAATTTTGTGTTTTATTATGTACATTGGGCCCGTCTGTTTCCTTGGTGAATACCGACGTGAAGAAAGTATTTAGCGCCCCGGCCCTCTCCCTGTCGTTTGTGAGTAACGACCCATTTATGTCCTTTATTGGCGCCTATTTTCAAATGCCTGTTCTCTGGCATGCAAGGAATATGAAACTAACATGTATGTAAAAGGGATTTCCATAAAATACTTCATAAGGTGTATATTACAACAAATATCAGAATTGAAAGAAAGGGCTATATATCACCCCCTTGTGCTTTATTAAAGAGTCAAACCGAAAGTGTTATTTCAGATTCTGGAAGGAATTGGCAAAGTAAATAAACTAGGGATGTTAATAATTTTATGTCTCCTGGTGAGATCTCTGTGCTTGGATTTCAAGTCTGAATGCCTGCTGCAATCATTCTAGGGGGGTCTCAGTCTACCTGTATATGTATTTAATTTATTTTATGGAGAAAGCAGCAGGAGAAGTGGAAAAAATCAATGTAGAAGGACACTTCAAAATCCCAAAAAGCAGAAGAGAAAATATTTAGCATCTACAACAAGGAGATCTCACAGCAGGCAAGTAGGGGCACCAGTCTAATTCAGTGCAGACATAATGTGATTGTCCTGTTTCCCTGTATAATTCTATGGCAGCAGCACTGCAGGCAGCTAGAGTAGAGTCGAGGATGGAAGTGCTGGGAAAAAGTAATATTTAATTGTGTACATTTTATATTTGCTTTATGTCCCTAATAACACCACCTCCCAGTACAGAAGTTCAGCACACGGAGCCCCACATTTTGATAAATAGGATCCAATTTGATCTAAAAACATTTGTAATATTATGAAAATCAATGGGTGACCGAAAATCACACTTGGATAGACTGACCCCTTAATTTCCATAACCATTTCGTGACATGTTTACCCAAATATTTTACGACGAAATCAGAAATAATATTTTTTCTTTAATGGTATATAAATACACCAGGAAAATCAAATATGGTGAATACCGTTGCCTGTTCTAAAATAAAAACTTTATTCAGTGTTAATTAAATTGTAATTTAATATTTGTTTAGATAAACTTTAGTCATTTTTTGAGTTTGTATGTAATAATCATGCACATTATTATATAAGATAGTAGCGAAACTGTTTACATGAAAACAAAATTTGTTTCTTAGAACTTCTAATAAACTGGCTGTTTAAGATTCATTGAAACATAAAGGCAATATTTTACAAATGTTATCTTGTTAATTCATGCAATGTAACTTGTTGAACGTACATTTTATTTCATATCATCTCATAGAGTGACTATGTGAACAAAGGATATTTTAACTTCGTTCAACCAATTTGTGTATTTATGCTCCGTATCTGCTAGAAGATGTGGTTTCAGATTTCCTCTACAGTACCACCCAGTGATGAAAGCTGGTATTGCAACTAATGCAATTAAGCAGTTCAGCCCCAAGCAAAGTAAACAATGCAAATAAATATTTGAAAAAAGAGGTACAGTATCTTACCTTCTTCACAGTTACTTCCAGTAAACCCCGGGCAGCATCTCCACTCCATGGTAGTGACTGTACGATACGACATTTTATACACAGGTCTCAGAACAGTCCTATAACTAATACAAACAAAAATTAAGTCTATTGTTGCTATGTACAAAACATCTGATGCCAGTAACAGTGCTTGTTGTATCTGGAAAACCATACAATTTTTTATAGATTACACTAAAACCTGAATTTTAGAACAAAAAATATCTTTGGAGATATAAAAGTTAAGTTTCAGCGATATATAGGGACTGAGTACATTTTAAATTAAATTACTATAAGTGGAGATTTGTTACACACTGTAACTTTCACT